GAGAGGAAGAGAAAGAGAGGAGAGAAAGAGAGAGGGACGAGAGAGAGGGAGAGAGAGAGAGAGAGAGAGCAGTGCAACTATAATTATAGGTTGGCGTCTTATACTCCTCAAACGATATTGCCGCTCGCAGCAACACAACAATTAAACTACAGCATACGGTACACGCGAGGCTTGGGCCGTGTGTAGGGTTATTTATGTGTGCGGAAATCACAAGGACTGATTTGTTTTCAACTTCATCAGCTGCGCCACTCTTAGTCACACGCGTTCCAATTAACGCGGTAAAAGCCTATAGATTTTTCTTCATCGATTTACGACCAATAAGACACGCTGGCGTCTTGCTGCGCCACACGGTACCAGGCAAGGAGGGCAGCCACATCCTCGGGGCGCCGTTACATAGGAATTCGGATGTAGGGGGGACGGTAGCGGGGACGGGATGGTAGGAAGACGGCGCCGGGCCGAGGGGAGGGGGCAAGACGCATAGCTCGGCCTTACCACTTGCCTTATCTCGCCTGTCTTTACTCTTACTCTTCTTTACTCTCTTCGTGCTAGACCTTGCTCTTTAATCGCTTTACTATCATTGTGTTTGTCCGATTGACTGACACGTGGTGTTTCTAGGACACGTGGAATTTCGGTGAGCACACAAAATTATATATCAACATCAAGCATTATTATATTATATATTATATATATAATATTATAGTTAAATATTTATTATATTTAAATTGGTTTTTTTGTTTGGTGTTTGGGTGTGTGTGTGTGTTGTGTGAGTGTGCGCGTTGTGTGCGACGGATCCTGTGTGTGTGTGCTGTATCGTAAAAAATGCGCGCTATGGAAGAAACTGTACAATGATGATGCTGCTGCTGCAATTCAAAGCCGCGCCATTCCTCCTCAACGCCGCCATTTCGTTATTTTACTCTCAATTTAGCTTTACAGTAGATTACCACCACGCGTTCTCCGGTCGTGCCGATCGTAAACCAGGCCAGTACCGTCTTAATAAGTCTCATAAACAAACGAATTGCCATGGACAACGATGGGTTTCTACTCCTGACCCATGCATCTCATCGCGAGGGGGGAGGATGGAGTGACACGGGGGGGCCGAGGGCGTGGATGACGCGCCGTGGGAAAGGGAGGGGGGGCGTGTGACGCGCGGGGGATAGGGGAGCGCTGAGGCCGCGCGGCGGAGGGGCGGGCGGTGATGACGCAGCGGCGTGGCAGAAGCTGGTGGCGTGATGCGCGCCGGCTCAGTGGTCGAGGGTGGCGTGGATTGGGGGGGTGTGGGGGGCGGGGACGTCGCGAGGGGAGGGAGGGGGCGTGATGACGCGGGGTGGGAGCGGTGGCGCCCCTGATGACGCGCGGAGGGATGGAGGCATTGATGACGCGCGGGGGGCAGCGGGGAGGATGTGGCGTGATGACGCGCGGTGGGAGGGGGGCATAATGACGCGCAGGGGGAAGGGAGGGGGCATGCATGTATGCGCGGGTGGGAAGCGGCGAGGGCGGGCGTTGATGACGCCGGGGAGGGGGGGGGCATGGAGAGAGTGGCGGGCGTTGGGATGACGCGCGGGGGGAGGGAGTTGAGGGTGGCGTGCTGCCCGGCGTGATGACGCGCGGGGGATGTAGCGGGCGTTGATGGACGCAGCGGGGGGAGGGGGCGTGATGACCGCGGGGGGGGGAGGCGTTGGCGTGATGACGCGCGGGGTGAGCGGGGGCGTGGATGAATGCGCGGGGGGAGGGGAAGGGTGGCGTGTATGACGCAAAAGGGGGAGGGCGTGATGACGGCGGAGGGGAGGGGGCGTGATGACGCGCCGGGGAGGGGGAGGGGGGCGTGATGACGCACGGGGGGAGGGGGTCATATTTGACGCGCAGGGGCGAGGGGAGGGGGCCGTGTGGACGCGCAGGGGGCGTCGAGGTAGGAGGGGGAGGGGGCGTAATGACGCACGGGGCGAGGGGAGGGGCCGACCGCGTGATGACGCGCACTCCAGCTTCGTCCCTCCTTCTACCCCCCTCTCTCTCTCTCTCTTCCTCTTGATCCCGTGTGCATTCGGCGTGGTCTGGTTGATTAATGGCATGTAACGAGCGACGAGCAGAGCTATGTGTTGCGCGCGGCAAATCACTGGCGCTAATCACTCGGGAACGATGCGACTTAGTCACGTACCACCTACACTCATGCTCCCCTGCCTACACTCACACACGCACGCACGCACGCACACACACACGTGCAGGAGGGAGGGGCGCAGATTGCCTGCAGTGACATTTTTAATGAGCATCAACTGAGTGGCTTCTTACAGGGAGTGGGAACAGTTGTTGTAGAAGCGCCACGTAGCTGTTGCATGAAACTATAATCATAGCCCATGTCATAATCTACGAGGTTGCTGGGATATCAGCTGCAGCTTGTGCTGTGTAGCTAAGGGTGAGCTGGCTGATGATGCATTCAATGTAATCAAGGTGATCAAGCCAGTCAACATCGAGGCGCTCACCAAGTGTTAGTGTTGTTGTTATTATTATTGTTGTTGTTGTTGTCATCATCGTCGTCGTGCGTTGTTGCAGGACGGAGCGCAGCACCGATCAGGTGATCAAGCCCGTCAACATCGAGGCGCTCACCAAGTGGGTGGGAGCGATCCCGGAGGACGTCGTACGCGACATGGCCGCCATTGCGCCAATGCTGAAAACGCTCGGATACGACCCCGCCGCCAACCCGCCCGACTACGGCAAGCCGGACAAGATAGTCGCCGAGAAACAGAAGGAGATCGAAGCCAACAGGTGGGTGTGAGAGGGGAGCGGATGATGAGGGAGGGGGGGTGCTCTGTAGAAATGCCATTAGTTGGAGTGAGGTTCCACAGGCACTTTGGAGCACTTTTTCAGGCATTTCTCATAATGTTAAGAGGATATTTTCGAGGATTTTTCATGCTCGTAAAGCCTTGCGCACATTGCCGAACATTTTCCCGAACAAATGTTTTTGTCTGGCAATGTGCGGGTGAACAATTGCTGAGCGCACATTGCCGAACATTTTCCCAAACAAATGTTTGTCCGAACAAATGTTTTTGTCTGGCAATGTGCGGGTGAACAATTGCTGAGCGCACATTGCCGAACATTTTGCAGCGAACAACCTCGTGGCGCCATCTAGTAGCTGTGTTAGTCACGTGATCGGCGCATGATTGTGCACAAAAATCACGTGACCACATATCGTGCTGCTATTGGTTACTACTTTAAAAATGTTCCTAGAAT